ACTTGGAGAACCGTTTGTTAATCTGGCGCTGATGCTGTGGGAGAGAGGAGCTTAAATACTGAGGAGCACAGGTGAGTAGAATGAGCTGATTGAGAGATCTGTGATGGGAGGGGCAGAAGCAATGAGCAGGGAGACAAGACTATGACATGGTTAAGCAGAAAACAGGCTAGATTCATGACAATAAACTTTTAAAAAAATTTGTATGCATGTTTTTGCACTTTGAACTTTTTTATTATGTCTTTGTATGTATAAGTACTATGCACTTGCTGTAACATTAATTGACCTTTTGGGCAATAAACCTGAACCTGAACCTGAAGAGCATGGATATTTCTCTGTTCTGTATTAAAAAAAATTAACCGTGACACTAAAATATTAAACGGAATCGTGAATTTTCTGTATCCTTGCACCCCTAACTTTAAGGTGGATGATAATCAACAGTGTCGGCCGGTACCAAACCAATCTGGCTCCTGTGTTTTGGCCTTGAAGTCTGGATATCTCAAACTCTCCTGTTATGCAAACTGATGCTGTGCCCCCACCATCCCATCTCCCTCTCATATCTGGGAACTGAGGTCTGAGAGCAACCAAGGTTGACCTGATGAACACTACACCACTCAGGAACTATGACTGGGTGGGGTTGTTGGGGTCTGGTTTCACAGATGCACAAACAACATTTCCACAGCTTCAGGTACACAACCCTCAGCTCACTCACTGCCTTTGCATGCAGAGGGTTTTGTTTAAAACTCACATTGTGTCCTTGCAGGGACACATTATCATGATGTTTTTAATCCTTCATCTTCCCTCATGTTTGATATTACTCTATTTTCTAATGCAAGGACAGCACCTTCCTGTGGCTGCAGTGTCGGGTACCTGTACCCCCCCCCCCCCCCTCCAAATTTATGTGATTCCTGTTTTTGTTCTTGTCTCTCTTGAATGGGTTCTGAAACGTAATTTCCATTTGGGATCAATAAAGTATTTAGTGGTCTGAGAAAAATGAACATTAGTATTTGTCCCAGTGATCTACAGTTATTCAAAGTAAAGATCCAGAAAAAGTTTTAAATTTCTTATAAAGAACCTATCAATACTGTGACATGAATAAATGACCTACCTGCTGCAGAGATGATGCAGAGCAGAACTTTCTCCATCTTTGTGTTCGTCCTGTTCTGATCTTTAATCAGCTTCTGCTCATATTTACCTGCTGCATCAATGGATGTAAAAGTCCCTCATGCAAATCATGAACAATAYATCTTTTTATCGAGTCCTTCTTTTATTTTTAGCTGGAACTGATAAACATATTCAAAACAGCCTGGTATCACATTCAGCCTGTTTTCTTCATAATAATACAAAATATATTAGCTTTCCTCATGTTCCAGACCCAGGTCTGAATAACGGGATTCAGGGTTCATTCATAATCACATGCAGGTCAACAATGCAATGAAATTCTTAGGATRAAAAGAAACCGTCCAACTCATTATATAAAAATGGAACAGGAAATTCACGTAGCTTGCAGTAGATGCACAGAAAAATAGTAATAAAAAGGTTTAAGGGTAACAATGAATATGGTGAACAACAAATAATAACAAAACTGGAATAGTTCCTGGAGAAACTATGAAAGGTTTTGACATGTGCATTCAGATTTAATTGAATATTTTAAAGATCTGAATTTATTGTTTGTTGACGATCACTGTTATCTACCACCATCCCAAATTTGAACCAAATGTGTGTAAAAAATAGCTGTATTATTAGCATTTATAAATATATTCATTCATTTATTAATAAATCGTGCTAAAGGTAATAATAAAGAAATTTGGAAAAGTATTAATATCTTGACAGGAAGAGTGAAAACCCCTACAACAGACGTCGTGCTTGGTGTCGATGGAAGAACAGTAGAAGATAAGGGCATCATTGCTTCTACTTTTAATTCTTTTTTTATTCAGTCTGTTCAGGAGTTGGGACAGGGTTTGAAAGGTAAGGATCAGGAACAACTGATAACTACAAAAGAGGGCTTTAATTTGAATGCAGTTACTGAACAGGAAGTCAAGAAAATAATTCACTACTCAACAGAAACAGCCATCATACACCTTACGGAGCAGATACGACTACAACTTGATAAAGGTGGGGTTGTTGGTGCTGTTTTCTTAGATTGGCATAAAGCTTTTGATACATTTAATCACAATGTTCTCTTCAAATTATCAAACTTTATTTTCTCATCTAAAACCCTTTCTTGGTTGACATTGTATCTATGCAACAGAATGCAATATGTTAAATTCAAAGATTCCAGTTTCCTAAAATGCACAATGGGTGTACCACAAGGATCGGTGCTTGGACCCCTGCTTTTTAGTCTTTACATCAATGACCTTCCAAAGTTTGTCATGATGTAGAAGTCCAGTTATATGCGGATGACTCTGTTCTGTGCACACATTTTTAAGCCACTTCAGTAGAAAGCAGAACTGAACATTAGTATCTTAGCTTCTTCATCATCAGTGACTTTTTTAAGGAGAAAAGGAAACAGAACGAAAAAAAGTGAAATGTAATGAGAG